AAAGAGTGTTTTCAAAACTAAAAGGCAAAACCAATAAAATGTGTACAAATAATTTATCGATCATTTTTCTTTAACAATCATCAAATTGATGCGGTCCATCTTTCAGACATTACCCCACCTCTTTCAATTATGTCAATTTTTCTTAGCGTACTTAAAATTTTTTGTTTAATATACAATTGTTTTCAAACATATCTTTCGAATCTGCAAAATTCAACGTCTATAAAAGAATTTATCAGAGGTTTCTTCCTAAATTTTGACAAGTGAGTTCTTGATTGTTCTTTATCTAGAGCATCTGACTGAAAAGACTCGTTATGCAATATTACCTTTGAGTTTTACTGGGACATGCCTCATGCGTAATGGCGATAAACGAAAGGGAACGTACTATAAAGAAAATGAACATTTTATTCACAAGGTAAACATGGAATATGTCAAACAAACTGTCTTCACAACGGGCTTGAACCTTCAATCAGAAACATTTACCAATGAAAGCAAATGTCCCTCTACTACATAGGCCGTTTCCATTTAAATACAATATTTTTATTATTATAAATATCTCTCTCATTCAAGATACATTCATCACTTTCATAAGCATAATCACACCACCAGAACAAATATAGGAGCTCCCACTTTGAGTGTAATGATTCTAAGGTATAGAGGCAAGCACCTCTAACAAGGAAGCAGCGAATTGCATTTGAGTCTCTTCATTTATTGTCACGAAGAGTGGCACGTGCACGAAAAGAGATTTGATCCCATTCAGTTCGGCAAAGCGAAGGGAATGATAGTAAACGTAATTGCACACAAACCTTCCTGCATCATCTGATACCATTACATCAAATCCCTTCTCTGCCAAGGCTTTGGTCATCTCCTCAACAGGAAGTGAAGTCTGCACAAAGTTACGTAGAATTCTCATACAGTAAGCACTAAGCAACAAGCAGAAACAAAAATGTTCTATGAAGTGCTTTTCTCCGCGTTGACTATGCATGCAAATTAGTACTTTCTACCTGTGTATGTCTCCCACCCATGAGAAATTATTACATGGTCTGAGACCATCATGGATCTGACTAAACTCTATATGACATAGTTGGGTTTAATTCATTCTTACTAGTCTCGGACTACATAATAATTTCTCCCCATCAAGGGGAAGGGGCACAACCCCACCAAACTAAATTCCTCATAAACCTGCTTACTTTTGATTTGTGACAAAATGAGGAGCTCAAAAATTTAATTTGCTAATAAGGAGTAAGCAGCAGCTTCAGTGCCATCAAAACGAATAGCACCTTAAAGTACTTGAAATGGTACCCAAAAAATGTTCTTCTATGTTAAAATAGTAATAATTATTTTACTGTGTTAGTACTAAACACCAAAACCAAGAGTACACACTAGTTTAGGAATTAAGTGTATGTGAAATATAAGTGGTCCATTTTACCTCCCTTGTTCGCGAAATTCCACCATCCGAAGGAACAATGGGGACTTTCTGCAACATAAAATTATGCAAATTTTGGTGAACATGCTCTTTGGACATCAGTTCTAAAGGTTTGTAGATGAAAGCAAGTTTGAAATGAATCCACTACTCCAATCTCACCTGGGGCTTCCATCCCATTTCATCGGGGCACCGGAAATTAGCCTCATTGACAGCTTGGTTCTCTATAGCAAACCTTGTTGCACCACTGTTAACTCCAAAATGCAGCTGAATAAACAAAAATCAGAAGCTTCCAGAACTTGCAGGGATAGATAAATGAATATATATTCAAATTAATAATGATATATGAATCTAACCAAGGGAAAATCCCAATCAAATGGTTACTTTCTGACTGTTCTTTCTAAGGCTTCTTATGCCAACAACATAATATACAGATGCTCAAGCTTTCAATGCCATCCCTTTTAGTTCAGCCTTTGAATTAATGTGTAAAAGTAATAAAAATGAAAGTCAAATATAAGTTTCATTCTAGCTCTTTGGTAATTTTTTCTTTTTTTAAGAAACTTGAGTTCAAAGTCCATTGAGCATTAATCAGAAACAAATTGTTAATAATACAATCATCACATCTGAACATGGATGGAGTCACTTTAATTAAGACACTATTAATTGCAAAAAAAAAAAAACAATTAAGGTGTCATACTCTAGGGATTTCTATTCCACTGCATAATAGTATTTAATGAGCAGATTTTGACAGAGTAATACTATAGTAGTCACAAAGAGTCTAACCATGTTAAGGTCAATAACGCCTATTTTAAGTTATTGGAGCAGAGTTAGGTAGTTCCTCTGCAGGTACTACAGACTTTTATTGGTGTATACAGAAACTCACAAGGAATGTAACTAAATGATAATGTTATTCTCCTTCTTGGTCATATTTATCTCTATATGCTACGTTTTTTATTTCTTTTGTCTACTTGTAAGATAAATCAGCTAGGTTAACATAATATATCCAGGTTCACAGCAGGAAATTAAATTGAGAAGTACAAATTAGGATATGATTACCTAAATGACCAACATTGAAGAATGATTACACAAAGCTATTTGTCAAGTACAGGAGCAACTCACCCAAATAATTCTATTGGAATTTGAAGATTGAGAGTCCTTGGCAATAATGGCGGATTGTAATCTCTGGTAGAGTGGAACAAGTGCTCCTTGACCAGCCGTCTCAAGAATGCTGCAGCTCCCAATAACTAAACCCTTCGGCAGACCCTTCTTATTCATGTACTCTGTCAAATTGTTGGCAATAGTTTCTGTTGGATTCTCTGAAACTCCATGGAACTTCTTAAATCCTGTCACATGAATTGTTGTTATCGGTGTTGTAGGACCTTCAGACCCCATTTGCTAAAATTAGTAAAGCTGGTAATGATTAGGGCTTCACCTCAAAACTATTTTCCAAATACCTGAATCAATTGAAGAGAAACTTCAAGTAAATGAACAGAAAAATCGAATATTTTTCTACATGGTGAATCATATCCAAAGAAATTACACATCACAGTCCTTAATCATCACCCTTGAAAAATTTATAAGCCCTCGATCATATAGAAAAACATAAGCACAGAGTTCAGATATTGCTATTATTACTAAAAAAATGCATAAGTACCCAAAAAAAGCCTGAGGCAGCGAAAGAAATAACTGCCTCAAACCGGAATCAGAAGAGATAAATGGGTTTTGACATAATTTCATAATTCAGTAACCTAAGATATGAGTAACAAACAACAACAGAGAAATCAGTTTCAAGAGTGACGCAAAGAAGGATAATCGCATAACAAGGCAAAGTTTTTCACTTTTCAGAAAAATAACAGTCCCGGAAGAAGCAAAACACTTTATTCATTGCTAAATTGTAGTATAACACGAAAAACAGCGTAAACCCAAAAACCCCATGAAAATAAAATTAAGAAAAAGATGATGATCATGCAAGGTGCACCCAAATGATCAAAGAGACATAAATTGGAAACATGAACAAAATTGAGGGAAAAAAAAGGAGAACTTTGATTGAGAGAGAGAGAGAGAGGGTCTTACAATAATCTTCAATCTTAGAGATGACACATCCACCAGTCTTATCTACTCAAAGTTGATTAACTGGCGAAGATTCGAATTAGATTTGGAAGAAATAAAAATAGAGAGAAAGAGTAGAAAACATTTATACGAATACCAAAATAATACACGACGGGTGGGTGCGGGTGTCAGTGTCACCTTCAAACAACAAACGCTGCTGTTCAATTTTATTTTATTCTTTTACCTATTTTCGTAGCACTTTTTGCTCAGTTTTAACTGCAACAATTTTTTTTATTTTAATTTTTGTAGTAGAGAATGTGAACTTTGTTTGAGGAATTTATCCAACAATTGTAACAATAAATAAAGCACGTTTAGGAATTAAAATTTTATAATTCATGTTTTTATTGTTTTATATTCTCTCTTTATCTTTTCAATTGTATTATTCATAACTATATATATTAAAAGAATTTTCTTCACTTAATAATACATTTTTTATGTCAAATTTTAAGGATGTAACTCGTGAATTAAAAATTTATAAATTTTAAAAATTATTTATACTTTATTTTTTTTGAATATTATAATTAGTTATTTAATATATAGTCATCATGATGATTCACTTTCTAAAGGTGTGACTAATTTTATTTAAATTCAAAAAGGGAATTTAAAATTTATTAGAATACAACATTTTTTCTAAATCATAAATATAATTAATTCAGGTAAAACTATATGATAATTTTTTTAATATTTAATCTAAAGGTGAAATAATATGAACAGTATTTGATACATACATACACCGATAGTAGAATACATTTAAACTCAAAAAGGCATTTCAAACTTACTGAAGCATAACATATTTTATTTTATTTCATGTAACTTTTTTTTTATTTTAATAATGAATAAAAAGGTAACTTTCTTTAATTTTTTATAAGACTCAATTATCTAATTCATTAAAATTAATAAAATTTATTAATTTAATTGGTAATATTATTTTTGTCTTAAATTATAAATTTCTAAAATTATACTTAACATGAAAGAGACTCTTATCTTACTATACTGACAACTTATCGAATAAAAAATATTAATCAAAGATATTTTATCAAAAATAATTAATAGGAGAGATATTTGATATTTATTTTTACCTAAAAAAAAATATCAAGTCATATTTGGATTTTATAAAAGGGGAAGAGGGTGTAAAACTTATATGAGTGAGGTTAAAAACATTTTACGCTAAATTCACCTAATTAGATTAATCTTAGCTGTGCCGTTAAGGTTAGGTAGGTAACAAAGTTATAATATTTTATTGAAAAAAATGGATTAATAATGTATGACAGCGGCTTTCACCTACTTGAATTCGTATCCGCAGCATTTCCTTTGACTTTAATAAGGAAACTCAAGCGGATAATTATTGTTTTGACTTTAATAACTAGCATAAAATTAAGTTCAATTACTTCTACTAACAACACAATTATAATTTTAATTTAAAAAGAAATGTATAAAAAAAAACAATATTTATTTCTTCATTTTTGTTAATGTTCACACTTAAAATACATGCTCATCCAAAACTAACATGTCAATATAAATAAATAAATGGGAATCTTTATCTAAAAAAAAGTATTTTCAAAAGTTTATATTAAACAATAGCATTTTTTTAGAGTTTTTTTTTGTTTTTTTTTTATCTATTTTAATTTATATTTATCAATTTTTCATATTTATTTTTAAATTAATTTTTAATGTTTTTAAAATAAATAATTAATAATTAAAAAATAATTTTATATCACAATATAAATTATAATTTTTATGATTAAAATATT